TCCCAGGTTAAAGACATCCTTTGAGTTATATTGAGAGCCTGTCTCTCGCTCTCAGTCAGCTGGGCTGCGGTCTTCGGGCCTGGACAATCTTTGATAGTGAGTTCGGCCTTGTCGCGGATTCCTACAGAGCCAGCTCCCAAGATACCAGCAAGAACAATATAGGGATTCGCAGTCCCATCCACGAAGCGCATCTCAAAGTTTCTGGAGGAGGGAGATGTAGCGTTGGAGAGGCGGACAGGAGCCTCGCGGTTTTCGGTCCCCCAGTTCACGTAGGTGCCACCGGACCAGACACCGTCTGCCATTCTTTTATACGAGGCTTGAGTAGGCAGGGTAAGCGCAGTCAAAGCGGGTAAATTGTCGAGGACGGAAGCGAGAAACGAAGATTCAATAGGTGATAGCTTATCAGGTACTTTCTCGTTGTTTTGAGAATGAATTGATATGTGTGTATGCGCAGAGCTGCCGGCAGAGTCCATATATATCCTCGGAGCAAAAGTGGCGCGCAACCCGTTTTTGGTAGCTGTATTATAGATGATTTCTCGGGTGTGGATCAGTGCATCAGCAGCTTCCAGCGGAGGAAGAGGGCCAGTGACCATTTCATACTGTAAGAGATGATAAGTTCTCCTCGCTGTAGACATGTACAGAGTAAATGCCATACCTGTCCAGGAGCAGCTTCCGCATGATACATCTGTAATTCAATGCCCGAAGACTGGATCCCATCAGCAATCTCCTTGAGCGTCTTGGCCACGACCGAGCCAGAAGGAAAACCATTTGTCGCTGTCCAGCTATGGTTGCTCACAGCTACTACAGGCTTTGTCGACTTGAGCAGGATAAATTCAGACTCAAATCCAACAAGGTATTCAATCCCGGTCTTTGACGACTCCCTACAAAAGCATTAGCGCTACCCAACCTGAAAGCTAACTGCTGACCTGACGACACGCTGCAGAGTGGTGCGGGGACATAGATGCACATCCAAGCTCATTTTGTTATCCAGTCCAAGGTATGGCGTCTTCTCTTTAAACCACCCGAAAACGACAGCTTCTCCGGGAGCGTATGGGCACAACCTAATCGTAGAGAGATCTGGTACATAGAGATACTCTCCCGAAGAGTTGAAACCGGGAGCAAGCATCATGTATACAAGGCCTAATGCAGCCTTGGCAACTCCGACGCCAGGTCTCGACGATTCGAGCAATTTCAAGAAGTAAGGAAGAGGAACCACACGACATCTGATATTGTTTATGAGGTCGACCCATTGAAGACGAACGTACGCTATATGTACCTGGTTATGACTATGTTGTCAAATAGGCATGTATTAACTCACAAATATTCAAGGATGGATCTTCGAGGCTCTCGAGCGGAATTGTTGTAGCACGCGTGATTGAGGAGTATTCTACACCGTGATCATAGATCGAGGACATGTTGCGTATCACCAGTCTGGAGAGGGCGTGAAAATATAAAACGCGAGGTGTAAAAGGATGCCGTTAGAAACTGTACAGCTGGAACTCCCATCACGTCGTCGGACCAAATACAAGTACTTCTGAAGACGTCTCCATCAGCTTTGGTAACATCATGTCATGCTTTTCTCGTCCGCCCTAATCTAAGCGTCCATCATGGATAACATAGATATGTTGCATGACTTAAGCCTTGATGAAGTGAATTGGAAAAACATTAACATGAGCGTTAATCTGAAGACATAAGGTTCAATCTTGACTCGGTGAGGCCAGTTCGTCGGCTCAGAATATATCATGTCAAGAAGTGGCGCCTTGTAACGTTTTGCCTAAAATGGAACACGTCGGAATTGCACTCGACGAACCAGTTGGACTACCATAACAAACCTCGTGACAATACTGTGACCCGTTATGCAGAGTGAACCACGCTCTGATCTGCCAGTCATTTCCATAGCGGGGGACGCCTGTGTCGCCAACATAACACGAGTCAACAACAGCGCAGAACCGCTTCATCAGGTAGTTGAGGTTCTCACC